TAACTTGTGAGCATGCAGTCCTCTCTGGGCCTCCCCCCACACCTACTCCTGTATTTGGCTACTTCATACTTCAAGCTTTATGTTCAAGCAACACAGAACTTGCTAACTAACCCCGAGTCCTCCCTCACTCTGCACTTCCTCATACTTTTTATTCTTAAGGTTTACTCATGCTGATTGAATAAACCTTCCACACATCATTTAAGAATCCTTTATTATCTCCTCCTAAAAGTGTTCTGTAACAACTTCCACTATTTCGTATTTCTGTGTATTATGTCCTTATTTTGCATTTACTGTATTACACTCTATTTTAGTAATCAGAAGAGCAATACTGAGTCGGCCATTAAGAGCAGACTAACCAGACTGGCAGAGCTCCGCCACCTAGGTGAATGACCTTGAGTGGGTTGCTTAACCAATTTATGCCTTAAATACTCTCACCTAAGAAGGAACAGTCTTTCCTAGATACTACTGTGAGGCAGTGTCTGTTACCTAAATAGTAACTGGTTACAGTTTATCTCTGTGTTGGTCTCCCCTCGCTACACTGTGAGCAGCTTGAAGGCAAAGGCTTTGGCTTACTCTCTCTACCATAATGGGAGGAATCTCCCAGTTTCCTTCTGTCAGCAGATCTTACACATTAAAAAAACAAATGTATTGTTTCAATTCTGTGGCTCCAGTATTTTTAAAAAATTCTAACCAAAATCCTGAAAATTCATATCCTTATCTAATTACAATTCAAAGAAATAAAACAAAGAGTTTCATACAAAAATGTTCTCAGCTTAAATCTATTAAGATCTCCCCTCACCCTAAGTCAACACAGTGAAAACCTTCCTTTCACGAATGCTATTCCCTTGGCTTAGAACATCTTCCATGTCCATCTTGCCATCTTCCAAGAGTCCTTCTGACCCCAAGGTATGGCAGGTGCCCAGCTTCTGCACTGTCCAAAGAGCTTATACATGCCACTGTAGGGTGACACAGAATGTAGCATCCAAACTGAGATGCTGTCTGTATGCCTCCACATGTAAGACAGGTGTTGTAATTACTGTGTTAAGTCCCTGAGATCAAGGCATGGTCTTAGTCATTAGCATAAACTCTGAGCTTCTAACATGTTCCCTTGCATTTAGTTGACATTTGATGTTTTTGAATGAATAAATGTGCAAGTAGTTAAGTTTTATTTTGCTTTTCATTTTTGCTTATTTCAGTCAAGCAAAATGTGCTTGACATTTTACAGAGCATTTTTCGTACATTATACAACCGAGTCTCACAACCAAAGCGAGACAGGGATTTTTATTATCCTCACTTGGTGAACGGAAAAAACATGACCAGTGGTTGATTTACCCCAAATTGCTCATCTTGTAAGCAGAAGCTGGGACTCATTTGATTCAAAGCTCTAAGTTTCAGTTTTTGTAAAGCAGAATACACTTTCTGGACATGACTACTAACTGAAGCTTTTATTACTTTAGAACTTTTAAGACTCAGAGTCTCCTTTTTCCATGAATCTAAAAGCCCTCCTATTGCCCCATCCTGCAGGCAGGTAGGATGCCCTGCTCCATCCCTGTATCTCCCTTTGTACCTGCTGACTTCCACTGGCCACCTCCAATACTAGAGATTTAAAGTGGGGATGGAGCTCTTAGTTACCTCTAAAAAGGATTACATGTGTCTCACATGGCCAGCTAACATAAAAATCAGGTTGGTAATTTAATTCTTTAACTTTAAAATTCTGAAAACAATTTTAAATTTAAAGGGAGTTGTGTAAAAAACACCCATGTCTCCAATACTCTCAAGCAACCAAGCTGTGACTAAATTTGTAAGTACTGTTTTTGTGCTTTGTTTTCCTGAACATCAACTTCTTCATAACACACTCTTCAATACAACAGGCTAAGGAATAAGTGATTGCGTACTCTGAGTAAGAGCTCTTGTAGTTAATATACAAATGACCAGGGCCAGGGATGTAGCTCAGCGGCACTGGCCCTGCCTGGCAAGCCCAAGGTCCTGAGTTTGAGCCCTGGTACCAAAAAAATCCCAAAACAAAACAAAACAAAAAAATGACCATACATGCCAAAATATAAGTGCAGTTAGAATCCACCTTAAGCATATGCTAAGATGCCAATTAAAAACGTCATTCAGGCCTCAGTCCCTACTACCCCTTCTCACTATCAGTCCTTCCCAAGCCACATCTGAAAGCAGCAGACACCACCACCCTTCATTAGAAAGTCCCTTTCCTATAATTTCCATTGCATGTTTGGCATACACCCTCTGATAAATGATCAGGAGTCCCTACCATCCAGTATCAGCACAGGGGATATTTTGGCAGTGGTCTTTGTGGCAAGTACTGTATATCCACTCATACTTGACTGTAAATTAGGTCATTCTCTACACATGAGGGGTTTTGTTTTAATAAGTTTGACAGGTATTTAATCAGAGTGGATACCAACAATACCAAAGTGTGAGAACTAGCCCATCAACATTTACTTCATGAGGTCAAACCCAAAATAGCAGCTTTGATATATTTAAACTCTCATGCCTACTACTTCAACACAGAATTTATTTATTTGGTCCTGGGGATCAATCTCAGGGCCTTGCACTTGTGAGGCAGGCAGCAGCACCAGTGAGCTAAATTCTTATCCCTCAACATAGAATTTAAAGATGGCTCAAAACCTCCCTTTCCCTCCACCAGACAATGCTCACCAACCCCGGTAGTGGACAGAGAACTGAACCCAGCTGACAGGCTATCCCTAGGCAGGGAAAGGCACACACAGCAACCCAGATATGGTTACCTTCCCCCGTTTCTAAATCAAAGACCTGAGTGCTCACAGTGCTTATCTCTGAGGAATAGGAGTCAAAATGACTTTCATTTTTGTATTTTATATATTCCCATATGGGCTGGATTTTTACAAAGAGCATAAATTTTATAATTTTTAAAAAGCATTTCAAGAAAAATTAATAACTTTTAATTTGGTTCACATGAGAATATAAGAAAAATTGCAAAGCAATTCCACTACTTTATCATGAGGTACTAGCACAAGAAAATATCAGGAGAGAACATTCTATAGAGACCAGAGTGATCTCTCAGGCAGATGTTTCTCAAATATACCTTAAAAAAAAAAAAAAAAAAAGATTGCAGCTTTAAAACAAAAACTATGGAAATGTTTCTGCATTTCCATACCAAATGATTCCCTCCCCTTTGGAGCCAGCAGACTTAGTGCCTTTCCTGGCCAGAGAAGGACAGGCCCGAAGGCAGGCACTTTTTTTTCTCCTGCATATTAGAAGAGAAATGGTATTGCAAAGAACACGGAGACACTTTGAAAAGGGTCCGTGAACTGTACCTTCCCCAGAGCCTTGCAAGAGGAGAGAATGAGGAAGCAGTACAAAAACTTAGCAGTGTTCAAGTGAAATCAAAACACAAGGTCAATGGGGCCGGGAATTTAGCTTAGTGGTTCCACCGCATGCCTCACAAGCGTTAAGGTCCCGAGTTCGAGTTCGATCCCTGGTACCAAAACAAACAAACAGAAAAAAACCCACAAGGTCAAGAGCAAGTGACTGCTCAGGGTAAGGGCCTGGTTAAAACAAGTTTTGTTTTCTCTGAAAATGATGCGCCCGCCCACCCCTCCCCGAAAGAGGGGGCCCTCACTTTAGTGGTAGGAAGAACAGAAAGGCTGCTCAACCTGCGTTACTCAAAACCATGAAAATCTGGTCTTATGGAGAAATTCTGCTGTTAAAATGAATGTAAGACGTGAGCTCAAGGCTTCCTGCACTTTGTTTATTAACCTTTGGAAAGCTTTCACCTCCACCACGCTTACGTATCAAGAAGGAAGCTTCATCTAGCTCCCAAAGCCATCCAGTTACTACTAAGGCATTATTAGATATTCAGCCAGCGATTCAAAAGGAAAGTTTTCAAGTTCGGAGCAAAAGATAGCCATCATTCAGGCTTCCCCTTCCCCCTCTCCATTCTCCCCACTTCTCTACATCATGGCCATCTGCACTAACACCTCACAGAATCTGACTTCTCCGTTTCAGAGAAGACCGCGATTGGTTTGAAGTTGTCAGAACTGCGCCCTTCACCAAATCTGCTTCAGGAACTGATTCCGAGCTTCAAAACGCCTCGAACCGCTCCTTGGGTTCGGGTGTCCAAGGGAATAAATACTCTTCCCGTGGTTGACAGACCCTGAGTGGAAATACACTGGCTAGGGGAAAATTCCGCGTGTACCTACCACACACAACTCGATTCGGAAACACTGTGGCACACCAACCAATGCCCTATCCCCAGAAAACAAGGACTTTGCTCAGCCTCTCCCTGGCGCGCCAAGTCGGAAAGCGTCCAGCCCAGCCTCTGAGGGAGCGGACGCTCCGCTCCGGCAGAAGCCCGGGGAGCGCGGACCGCCCCGCGCCCACACCGACACGCGACGCGACTCAACTTTGGTAGGCGCCCACCGCAGGAGGCGAGCGCACCTTCTTCCCGGGAAACAGATCCTTCCCATTGAAAATTCCTGAGCCCCAGACCTACCACTTTTTACTGAACAAAAACCGTGTGCGCCGGAGAGAGGAAGGTGGGAAAGCGCACAGCGAGAACCGCCTCCCGCCTCGGCGCGCGCCCAAGTCCGCGGCCTCGGGTCTGGGACGCTTCCCCTCCTAACCGCCGCAGAGCCGCGGCTGAAGTTGAGAAGCGGGCTCTGCACCCGTCAATCAACCGGGTCCTCCCGCCTCCCGTCCACCCCTCCCCTCCCCCCTCAAAAAATGAAATAAAGGCAAAGAAAGGGAAAAGAGAACTAATTTGGGAACTAGTCTCCCCTGAGGCTTCGCCTCTGACCAAGGAGGCCGCACTCCCGGGACCCGGCGCGCCAGCCACGAGCAGGCGGCCCAACAGCCTCCTGTCGCCGGATCCTCGCAGCGCGCTCGCCGCGCTCCGGCTCCCCGCAAGGGTCGGCGCCGCTCCGGCCCCGCACTCCGCCAGGCCCAGGGCCCAGACCAAAGTTGAGCAAATCGCCCCACGACTGGCAAATACTCACCGGGCGAAGTGGGAACCAGGGCTGCGGAGATTTTAGGAAGTTTAAGGCAAATCGGCCGCAGGAACGGCGGGCGGAGGCGAAGGGGCCGCGAGTGCAGCGGCGGCGGCGCGCGGCACTCGGGCTGGGCTGCACGGAGACTCCGCTCTGCCAGGGACTGCGCTGCAACAAAGGACTTCCGCTGCCGCACAGCCGCGCCTGCCGCACCGCACTGAGCCGGCCCCGCTTACGCGGCGACTCCGGGTCTGCCCACCAGTTCGCCGCGGCGTCCGCCAGCCTTCCCCTCCCTCTCGCCCGCCCACCCACTCCGCCGCTGGCTGCTAGGGGCACCCGCGGTCGCCTGTTTGTTGCAACAAGTTTCTGCGTCGGGCTCCGGGCAGGCTGGCACAACCCGCACCGCGGGAGCCGGCCAGGCCACCCCTCTCCCGAGGGTCGGCTTGGGACCTCCTCCTCCTCCTGTTTGCACAGCTGGATGGGACGCGACTCCTCCCGACTCCCCAGGGGCAGGATGCTGCGCACTCCGCCCAGATGTCAGGCCCCTGCCCCGCCGGGCTCGGCGGCCGGCCCTCCCTCGAGGCTCATCCCGGCTGTTTGGGGGCGCCGGCGCCCTTCGCCCCGTCCCGTCCCCAACTCGTCCACTCAGGATCGCCCGTTCCCCGCGTTCCCCCCGCCCAGCCCCCCGTGGGCCCGTCCGCCACGGATCCTGAGTCACTTCCCCCGCCATGCCCCACCCCGCCCAGCCCGCCTCTCCTCCGAGGCGCCCGGCGCGGCCCCGCTGGCCCCGCGCCCTCACCCCTCTCCCGCCGAATACGCGGACCCACCCTTCCCCGCCCCCACCCGAGTCGAGGGGGTGCCCGTGCTTTTGCACACCCTGGGGAAAGTCCCCGGGTCACGCGGCTGTGTGTGGGGAGCCTGTGACGCTCAGGCTTGTCCCCACGCTTCCGCCTACACAGTCGCGACTGGGAACCGCGGCGGCTGCGGCGCCCGGAGCGCCGGCAGACCCCCGCCCCGCCACTCAGGCGGGCGGGCGCGCGCGCGCGCGCACGTATGCACGCACGCACGCACGCATTCACCCTCGGCCCCAGTTCCTCAACTACCAGACGCACGGTCACGTGGGCTCGTCGCGCGGCGGTCGACGCGGGAAGCCGCGCGAGAGTGGGCCGCGGGGTGCGTGAGCTGGCGCCGCTGCGTGCCGTGCGCGGCCGGGAGCCCGCCCCTCCCGCACGGAGGAGTCGGCCCGCTGCCGCGGCGGCGTCTGGGTAAGCGACGCGCCCCGTCCCTCCCGCCGGGCCATCCGGGGCGACGGCTGCAGCGCACCGGTCGCGGGACAGATGCACGTAGCTAGGGAGAGGGGCGTTTTTGGTCAGTGAGGCCACAGGAGGAAAATAGCAACCGCGAGTGCGCGCCGGGCGGAGGCTCCCCGGAGCAGCCCTCTGCTGCGGGCCGCTGCGGCCTGACACGGGCGGGGAGGGCGCGCCGCAAAGGCTTGGAGCCCTCTCCCCGGGTGCGACCCCGCGCCGGGCTCTGGAGTCGGGTCCCGGAAGCCCGGGCCAACTCCTTCTGCGAGCGGGGGCATCTTTAGGTGCGGGATTTGAGGACGCAGCTGCTGTCCCCTGCCTCTCCCTCTCCCAGTTTGTGATTACCCTGTTTATATACAGAAAGTTTCCAGTCTCAACGATTCATTTGTTTTCTTTTTCAGACGTTTATAGCATTCTAAGCAAATCCAGTTTTCTCGAAGTCTGCTCCATCTTGTCACCACCTCCCTAGCGCTCAGCATTTGGAAAAATCTAGTGGTTATCAGTTGCCTAGGCAACGCACAGCAATACATACCTGAAATCTCACTGCAGCTAACCTGTTGTATAAATTAACGCTCTTATCGCCTCACCCCACCCCCAGGGGATTAAAACAACATTCTTTTTCCAGAGAGTGAGTCTTTTCAGCTGTTGATTCTCTCACAGGATTTTTGACAAATGTGGGGTTTTTTCCCTTTTTTTCGTTTTTGGTACCGGGGATCGACCTCGGGATCTTGCGCTTAAGAGGCAGACGCTGGAAGACAAATGTGTAAAATACATTTTGGAATCTCAAACTGTAGAGTTCAGAGGGACCCTATAGAAAGGCCGGTTCATCTAATTTTACAGCTGAAGACACCAGGTCTAAAGAGCAGAATGCTTAATCAAATCCTGCCCTTCTCCCTAACCGGACTCCAGGGCTGAGGACACCTTGGTCATTGGAGGCCACCATGCCAGGACTGTGAGGCCAGTTTAAACCACTGGACAATCTCCACCAGAGATTGCACTTGGCTTGCAGGATTTCTCAGGTTTATTGAGAAGTGAGGTTCAGCCAGTGTGATGGCTCTGAAATAGTGGAGGTGGCGCTGTTTCTAGGATACATTGAAGCCAGAAGCCCATCCCTCCCCCCCCAAAAAAGTTGACCTTATTCTTTGTGAGAATAACAAACATTGTGGCTTTGCTTGCTTCCTTAGTTTAAGGTGTCAAAGTTTGTTTAGCAGTCTGCATATTTAGTCAAGGGTAAACTGAATCCATTATGAGACTATTAACGTGATGGACATGGAATAGGTTAGTCCTAATGGCTGGGACACAAAAGTAGCAAAGCATCAAGGACTGGTCACCAAGAAAGCAAGAAGGGGCCCCACATAACCTGCCCTACCTTTTTGTCTACTCCTATCAGAATGCCTTTTGGATATAGTGGAGACGGTCTTTGCTCAATTTTGGTTGCAGTTTACTAAGTACCTTCAGTGGGCCAAGTCCTATATAGTATAGGACCTATACCATCTGCTTTCATGGATGAATTTTGGATTCTTACTAAAAAGAAAGTAGTGCTATCTCATGTTGCAAGCCTGTGGAAATGGGCTCAGAGAGATTTACCTGAGTGCAGTGATGTAGTCATTTACAGAGGAATTTAAGCCTAGATCACTTATCTTCCAAGTCTAGTCACTGCTCTTTTGCATTATATCTTGCTCCCACTTCAAGCCGGGAAGGGGATGAGAGAATCGCCTGTGGCTGATTTATTGGCGCCTGTGGTTGCCCAGAGAGGCCAACCAGGACTTTCAGCTGCCCTCCGTGCCTTAGAAAGTGGAGCTATGTGCTTCCACCCTATCTCCTGAGGGGAATGTGAAGGAGCCAGGCTGTCTAGCTAGGGAGGAGGGGCCCAAGTGCCTTGGTTGTGAAGTATCCTGGCCAGGCTGTGCTGGGAAGTCTTGCGTAATGCCCTCCCTACCACTGAACCCAAGTGATTTATTTACTATAGTCTGTAGGTGGTGCTTGACCAACTTGTCCGTTTTAGTAATAAAAGGGCCAGAAAAGAGTTTAGAGGTTTTGTATTATTGCAGATTTCCCCCCTTGTTTTAAAAAAGCAGTGCAGGTGTCCTGAGAAATTGTAAAGTACTTATGCACCACTTCCTGTGCCCCCTTTCTGCCTATTTATTCCCCAGAGCATGTGAACTTCAGTCCTTTGAGAGGAAAAGACTAAGAAAAGTAGTGTTCCAGTTTAGTCACCAGCACAGGTTATGGAGCCATACCTGGCTTTTGATCTCTACTTTATAAAGTTTCCTAGTTATGTGCTCCAAGTTTAAATTTTTTTCTTGTATGTAAAATGGAAACGAAAGATATATTAGTTACAGTGAGGATTAACAGATAATGTATATAGATCACTTAGCACAAGACCTCACACACAGATGCTTATTACAATAGTAACCATTAGAAATAACCAGAATATTGTTCTTCTGGGAAAGGAAAGATGTTACTATTTGAACCTGTGTAGGGAGAATGGAAGGAGAAAATGTTTGAAGCAAACATCAATTTCAGGATTATTAATTGATTTTACTTACCTTTCTGCTCTTTGCTAACAGGAAGTCCTCCTCCTCCTGCTCCTCCTCCCTTCTACTACTCCTCCCCCTCCACTGAAAGAAGTGTTTATAGAGTTGTTAGTTATTTTTGAAATTTAAAAAATTCACTGCTTCCCTGGTTACAAACCAATACTACATGGATGTTTTATTGCTTCTGCAAAATTGTAGACACTTGAAGCAAAGGATTCCATAACCCCATGTAGGTAATATGTTCATGGGACTGTAATTCCTTGGCAAGGTTAGTATTGGTTCACTTATATACAGAAGTTATAATCACTTGTGTGTGCTGTATTTTAGATCTGTACCAGCATCACCATTTTTAGACTTTCCCCTGTCCTTTAATTATCTTCTGTTTTCTGGCAGAAATGCAGTCTTTATTTTATTTTTTTTTTAATGGCCTAAGAATCTTTTCTTAACCGGGTTGTGATTTTTTTTTTTTTTTTTAAGTCTATAAGCAGTTTGCACTCACTGTTGTTAGCATTCTTGTTGGCCTAGTGCTGTGGCTTTTTCAGGCATCCCACATGTTGGTTAGATGGGGGTAGGCAATGGAGAAGCCTGGCTATGTCTGCCAACTGGCAGGAGGCCCCAAACTAACATTTCCCTGATCCGTTAAAGGTTTCTAGAGCGTAACTGCTCTTCCTGTATCATCTACTACATCTACTTCTCTCTAACATTCTTTGTAGACTTTCATAAATAGACATCTAGAATTATGGGAGAATCTGCCTCCTAAAGCATTTTCAGATTTGGACTTTCTAAATCATTTTTAGACATTGAAATATAATGGAATGTGGGATTAAATTGTTTCTCCTAAATACTTTTTTGAAAGTTAGAAAATAACGTGGTTCCTCTCTCCACCTCTAGCCACTCCACTAGTTTAGGAGCACTTTTGTTTTCTAATTTGTCTTGTTTTAAAGTTTAAAGTTACAATTAGAATTACAGTTGATATTTGTTCATTTAATTTCCACACTTAGAACACTTCTCGTGAAATTGTTTCTTTGTAAATGCTAGCATAAAATTGTTCCATTTTAATTTGAAATAATCCAGAGTTACTATCTACACAGTCAGTTCTTTGAAGCCTCTTAAATAACTAATTTTAGAGTGAATTGTTCTCTTGGATTTTCTTGGTTCCCTATTCTAAAGCAGTGGTTCTCAACTGAGGCTTCATGTTAGAATCCCCTGAGGAGCTCTATAAAAAGGACTTCCCGGGGCAGTTTGGGTCAGTTTGGGTGGGACTCCATTATCACTACTGGTCTACATAGAAAGCTTTACAGTAGTTAGGGATAAGAACGTTGGGGAACTTTGGAGTAACAGAACCCCAAATGCTGTTTCAGGATAAATGAGTTCTATACACAGTTATTCTTATCCCTAACTACTGTAATCAGATATCACACTTCCACAGTCATCTGAAAGTGCCATCCATTAAAAATTTAAAATCAACCAGGTGTGGTGGTACATGCTTGTAATCCCAGAACTGTGGGAGCCTGAGGCAAGAGGATAGAAAGTTTGAGCCCAGCCTAGACAATTTAGTGACTTAGCAAGACCCTGTCTCAAAAAAGGGGTAGGGGTGTAGCTTGGTGCAAAGGCCTTGAGTTCAATCTCCAGTGCTGCAAAAGTAAATAAAGAGGATTGCAGAATAAAAAACAATACCACGGGGCAGGGGATTTAGCTCAGTGTTTCAGGCCCCGGCCTCAAGCACAAGGTCCCAAGTTCGATCCCTGGTACCAAAAAAAACCCCCCAAAAACAATACAACTCTGGCCTATTTTTGAAAATACAGTATAAATATATATATGTTAATATGTATTGGGTTTCTCATTTTAAATAAACATTTAAAATTTTGCATTTTTAAATTCTAATATGGTATTAATAAACATGTATCTAAACAACAGCTCATTATAATCCTTAGTGCTTTTACTATAATTATTAGTGTGTATTAACTGTACAAAATGTTTCATTATGACACTTTCATATATGCATGTAATGTACTTTGCTTGTGTACACTCCTCAATACTTTTTTTTTTTTAGAGTATAGCTGGATTTTGAGACCAAAACTTCCTAGAATGGCTCGTAGAAATGGCTGATTAAGAGCAATAGCTGTTGGCCGGGGATTTAGCTCAGTGGTTCCATTGCCTTCCTCGCAAGTGTAAGGACCTGAGTTCCATCCCCGGTACCAAAGAAAAAAGAGTAATAGCTATTTACTATATGCCTCACACTGCTCAGCATTTTATACATGGATCATCTTATTTTCAGGACAGTCCTCTTATTCTCACTTTACATGTGAAAAAATTGAAACATATTTAAGATCATGCATGGAAATGGTAAACATTCAAGTGAGAGCCATTACTATCATATGACTCTTCATGTAATTGGTATTTGGACAAGGCCCATGATTTCTA